ACAATGGGCATATAGTTCACAATACTGTACCATGCACCTCAACATTTGTTAAGAGTGTGTATGTCATGTCGTGTGTGTTTTATCACAAGTTTAAAAATACTCCTGATTATCTTATTCCATATACTCAACACCTTAGCAAACCTTAGTACGTCACTGCCCTTTTCTGGCTGCATGGTGTATCAGAGAAAGTGTGGGTTTGCAGTCAGACAAGCTTCGGTTCAAGTACTAGGTGATCTGGAACAGGTTACTTAGCCTGGCTGGTCCACAGGGTCATCTTTTGTAAACTCAGGATGGAATAAGACAGCCCCATCTATCTTCCAGCACTGTTCTAAGGATGACTCATAGGCATTGCTCAGTCATGGCAGCGATTATTATTTTTTGATTAGCATCTAGCCCTCTCCCTGGACCATGGTAGGTGCCCAATAAATGTTTGTTGAATGAAAAATTTAATTCCTTATTAATGAATTTTTATTTTATTTTACCCTGCTCCTTGCCATTTTTTTAGTGCAATTACTCTTATCTAGTTTTGAGTTGTATCCAAATTCTCAATCTAGTTAAGATTCAAAATTACATATCAGCTTGCTGGGCTAGCACTTTTCCTTACTCCTCTCCCTGAAGGGTCCCCAATTCTGTTTCTATTCTGTGTCTTTTTTCCCCTCTTCTGTGGACATGTGTCCAGGGCCCCTTGCCGCCAAAGTCCTTCAACTAGTTATTCTCCAGCAGAACATTTTTCTGCCAGTGAAAATATTTTCCTTCAGGAATTGACTGAAAGCTGTTTTCATATAAACTTCCCTATGTGAATTGAGCCTATAATTATCTTGCTCTTTCTTAGGATTTCTGCAGAGCTTATGCACACCTAAAGCGTGCCAATTCACACTTGGTTCTGGGCTCTATAGTAAAGTCACAGAAACATGACACCTGTCATGAATGCAAGCTAGGAAGTGGTCCCTAAAGCAGGGGATGTGTCTCGAATGCCTCTTCAGTCCTCGTACAGTGTGTAATACAGTGCTGCTTCCACAGCGTTGAGCAGCAGTCCTTAAGAGGGTGGAGTTTAGAATTTGATCTTTGCAGCCCTGAGTTTTAATCCTGACTCTATAACCTATAAGCAGTATAAGAAAGGTACCCAAACTGTCTGTCTCATTTGTCCAGTGGGGACACTACCCATTTTTACAGGGTGTGATGGTTAATTTCAGGTGTCAACGTGACTGACTGCCTTAAGGAATACGTCAGGAACTGGTAAAGCATTGTTTCTGGGTGAGCCTGCACATGTATTCCTGGGAAGATTGGCGTGAGCTGGTGGACAGAGTGGGGAAGATGCTCTCAATAGAGACAGGCCCCATCCAGTTCTCTGAGGGCCCAGACAGGAGAAACAGGGCAGAGGAAGGCACTTTCCTCCCTTTCTCTCCTGGAGCTGAGACTCTTCTTTTCCTGCCCTTGGACATCAGAACTTCAGGCTCTTTTTATACTGAGAATTACACCATCCACTTCCCTGGTTCTGAGGTTTCTGGGTGTGGACTGAGTCACACTCCTGGCATCCCAGGGGCTCCAGCTTGCAGACAGCCTGCCCCGAGACTTTTCACCCCCTAATTCCCCTAATAAATCCCCTCTCATCTATCTTTGCTGATCACCTGTTGGTGGTGTCTCTCTAGAGCCCCGATTAATCCACAGGGGTAATGTGAGGGAGAAATGAGGACGTGCTTGGGGAGCATTTCACACCCTGCCTGACACATGCCCAGGTCCAATGGGCTGCAGCTGCAGTTATTCTAGAACTTAGCATCAGTGTTCAAAACAGCAGAAGGCCTTCCCTCTGATACCCAGCCATCGCGTTGAGCTTCTCCGGTCATTTTTCAATTCCAGAGTGTTTTTGAGAGCAATTCTATGTCCCGTGTATCACTGACGTGGGGCCAAAGACAATCCGTACGCGTGGGGATCTGAAGCTGGGAATGACCAATAGGTTAGAAAGTTCTTAGGAGTCAGGAGCAGAGGAAGCTGCATGGTCAAGGGGAATCGACGTGAGCCTTCCTGCCATGTGTCCTATTTCCTGTGGTCTAATGAGACAGAGACATATGTATGTAGACATCATCTCATGCTGAGCTCTTTAATATGTGCAAGGTGTTTTCAAATTTTCCCACCAACCGTCTTTGACAGCTGAGAATCTCCAGATCACCTGTTGTTCATGACTGTTGTCAAGGGGATCCTCCCTTTAGGGACACAGGAAGATTTGCCTAAAAACATCAGGAAGCTTTGATATTTATTATTTTATTATAAAAGCCAACTACAGCTTTGCTGTTATATTACTTCGGGTCTTTACTCATCCCACTGTTTATTTTAAGCCTCGGCTTGTGGGTAGTTGGAGAAGGAGGGAAAATATTTAACACTCTTATTAACTAATTTAACTGTGTATTTAACATGTAGAATCAAGAAAGACTTAAAGGAAGATGCAGTATTTGTGAATGCTCCAACAAATTAAAAGATTATTTAAATTATTGTTTTGTCATTAAACCACTTATTTTCTATAATGAATTAAAACAGTTTGTGAAAATAAATTCAGTGATATTTTTGCATCTATAATTTCAAAATCATAGTAACTTTTCAAAGCCAAAAATTCCTGAAACACAAGTCTGCCAATCATCACAATAAAACATGAAGCCCCAGTGAAAGAGCTAGTCAGGATGGGTTCCCAACAAATAGCAGTTGAAGCTCCAACTGCCATGAAGTGATGAAACAAACCCAGTGTAAGAGCCATGGATAATTTTTTTAAATGCCGAAAGAATCATCACAGACTGTTTTGGGTTGTAGAGCTTGAATGGAAATACGGCATTAAAATAAGGTGCCCAAAATGAATTATTGAGTATAATTTCAAAACACACTGCAATGTTGCTCCATAATATTCATCATTCATCAAACCCAAAAGTGACCACTGACAAGATTCAGTTTATTTCAGTTTTTATGCTGTCATTATGGAAAAAAACTACAGCAGGGAGTTCACCAATTTCCCTTTGGAAAGAGATATACAACCACAGCCAACAGGCTTTCCTAAAAGACAGCAGGAGCTTTTCATTCTGGCTTGTTTCCCATCCGTAACATACAGATATTTATTGTTCAGGATGAATACAGCCTTGCAAATAAATAGGCTTTGAGTTGTACCAAGCATGCTCATCCTTATATGGTATTTCCATATAAGAAATACAAAAGAAATACACCACAAAATGATGGTGTTCAGGACATGGGGCAATGCCCTGTTTCTGCATCCTAGGTTTCATAGGATTCCATAGGAGACAGCTACAAGTTCAACATGCAAAGCTCTGAAATCCCTTCCTAAGCTAATGAAGTGAAGCCCTGACCGCACCAAGGAAAGGATGAAACACAACTCATTTGTTGTTTCTCACATGATGCTACCATCTCTTCTAAGTCACCATTAATTTTAACATCTTTAAAGATATAAGAACAATCTGTGTAACAAATGAAAACTGCCTGTAAAGTTAGTGCTTTACATCTCAAAAGCTTATTACATGGAAATTCATATTTTCATAATCACATAAAAGTTTAACATGTTATTCATAATAAGATTACAGGACCTGAGTTATTCTGTCTGTGTAATTATTAACAACTGGAAATTAAATCGTGATAATTTTGTACTCTTTTCTTCTTAAAATGAGGATTTCCTTTCTTCTTTTGCCTGAGAACCATGCTTGAACAATACTAATGACTTACCTTCTAAAACAAATGATTATATATAATATATAAATATAAATGTTTTATATATGTATTTATACATAAAATGTATATTTATATATAAATATCTCTCTATATATTCTACATAAAAACGTAAAAATACATATAAATATATAAATATGTATAGTAGGTTCTAGTATATATAGAAAAGACCTATGTATTTTGAACATGTGTATATATAATGTCTATATATTTATATATTATATAAATATATAATTCATATTTCTATATTTGTATTTATATATTATATATAAATATATATAATCTATAGTTTTGTATATAGTAAATATAGTTGTATATTATTTTATTTACATATATTTAAATATGTTTTGTACAGTAAATTCTACTATATATAGAAAAGACCTGTGTATTTCTAATGTATGGAAATATGAAATGTACTTTTTGTCTGTCGCAAAAATAAAAAGGCTTTTTTCAGGTGGATAGATTTTGTTCTACTTTGAATTTTTCTTAATCATATTAGATTGTAGGGAGGGGACACTGAAAGGAAAGAGGATGGAGACGATTCTTCCATCGGTTTCTATAAATGAAAAGGTATTTTAACAATGAAACCTAAGTAGGTAGAATCCAGTTCTTGGTACTTGGTGTATGTGCTAGCAAGATTGCATGAAGAAACAAACGTTACAAGAAGCGGAGTCATCCCGTGAAGGGGAGACTTTTCTCCAATGCTCAGCCATGACGCAATCCTTATCCTCCTGTCTGGCTAACTGTGACATGTCCCTTTGACCTCGACCCTGTGGGACCCCACTTCCCTCCCTCCCCCACATACCACCTATTCCTTCCTTCTGTCCTTTCTCCCTCCCCACACACCTCCTCTTTCTCCGTCCGTCCCTCCCTCCCCACACACCATCTCTTCCTCCCTCCCTCCCTCCCCACATCCCACCTCTTCCTCCCTCCCTCCCTCCCCTCACACCACCTCTTCCTCCCTCCCTTCTTCCCTCCCCACACACCACCTCTTCCTCCCTCCCTTCTTCCCTCCCCACAACCCACCTCTTCCTCCCTCCCTCCCCTCACACCACCTCTTTCCCCCTCCCTCCCTCCCCACACACCACCTCTTCCTCCTCCCTCCCCTCACACTTCCTCCTCCTCCCTCCCTCCCCTCACACCACCACTTCCTCCCTCCCTCCCTCCCTCCCCTCACACCACCTCTTCCTCCCTCCCTCCCCACCCCCCACCTCTTCCCGCCTCCCCTCCCCACCATCAGAGAACACAGAGTCACTGAGATCATTCTGCAACACATTCATTTTATTGTCTTCACCAGGGGCCACCGTGCTGGTGAGATCTCTGAGGTCTGGCGACTGGAACTGAACTTAGTCGCTGCTCAGCCAGATGGGGTAGTCGGTGGCCGCCCCCTCACTCAGCGGCTCCTCCAGCTGGGACTCCTGGCTCAGGGGGTCGTCCTGGGTCCCCTCGCTCACTGGCTCCTCGGGGGGCAGCTCATGCTGAGGGAGCTCCTGGCTGGGCTGGTCACTGGGGCCGGGGGCCGCTGGCCCGCTCCCCGCCTCAGGGGCCGTCGCTGCCGCCGCCATCTTGCTCGCGGCCCGTTTCTTCCCGCGTCTCCCTCCACGAGCTGCTTTTCCCTTCTTGGCAGCTCTGGTAGCCTGGAAGGACAACAGGGAGATGCCAGAAGGGCTCTGGTTGAGGGAAGAGGATGGAGGAGGCTGGGAACAGGGACGTTTCCTCAGAGGCGGGCGGGCCGGGTTGGGGGGCTGTGCCAGGGGAGGCCGGGAGAGGATTCTGGGGAGGAAGGAGGCGAGGGGAAGCCGAGGAGGAGCTTGGGTGGGTCCCTCACCTTCTTCTTCGGGCTACTGCAGCTCTGCTGAGAAGAGGACTTCCTCTTTCGGCTCTCCGTGGTCTTGGCCGGGGATCCCGAGGCTCTCGGCTTCGGACTCATCTTCCACAGCTCAACGGCTCCCAACGGTCACCCGCGGGCTGCCTGGGGTCCCCGTATATACCCCTCCCGCAGTCTCGGGACAATGAGGCGACCACGTCCCTGAGCTGTGATTGGTCAACACCCCACTACCCAGCCAATGGGAGCCCTGGGCGGGAAGGGAGGCCTTTGACGTCACAAAGCACCAGCACGACCTGACTGAGGGAGGTGGCGGGGAGTGACATCTGAGGAGGAAGGCAGGGTGCGCTGGTTGGAGAAAGGGAGATTGGGGTTAGCACGCCTAAGGATAGTTCCCAAACTGACATGGCACCCCTCCTAAACGCCCCATGTTCAATTTTGGCAGATCACGTGGCACGGGAGGGTATTTCTGCCATATGGTTCCCTGGACCCCCCCTACTCAGTGGTACATTCTATTTCTCCACACCTGCCATCATTACCCAGTTTCTGTGTCACCTACCTAAAATTCCTCCATGCTAACTGGGACGGGTTTGGGGCTATACGAAGATGTCAATCATCCCTCTCTCCTATCAATTCCTCTGCTACACCTTGAGGACCATTCACTTCTTGGATGCCATGAAACAACTTTTCCATCCCACTTCCTTCTCCCAGCGTCCACATAGTGCCTCACAATTTTTCATTCTCGTGGTTTAAAGCACTAGCTTCCAGAGGTCAAGATCAGCAAACACACTGACTCAGCTGGGTATCTGTATCAGGCTGGGTTCCTCAGAGAAGGAGAAACTAAACCAACAGGATATTTGTGTGTGTGTGTGAGAGAGAGTGTGTGCGTGTGTAATATTGTATATCATAAACATCTATTTACTATAATATAGTATTCATTTATGAATAATATTATATATGTGATACGGTTTACTCTACGTAAGTGGCTCAAACCTTCACACAATGTGGAGTCTAGGAAGCTGAAATTTGTAGAGCAAGTGAGCAAGCTGGAAACTAAAAGCTTCTGCACAGCCAACAATCAACAGAATGAAAAGGCAGGCTATGGTTTGGGAGAAGCTATTTGCGAACCATATATCTAATAATGCGTTAATATCCAAAATATATAAAGAACTCACACAGCTCGATAGCAAACAAATAAATAGTCTAGTTAACAAATAGGCAAAGGACTTGAATAGGCATTTCTAGAAAGAAAACACACAACTGGCCAACAGGTATATGAAAATATGCTCAACATCATTAATAATCAGAGAATGCAAATGAAAACCACAGTGGGTAGAGCGGGGTGGCTCACGCCTGTAATCCCAGCACTTTGGGAGGTCGACATGGGTGGATCATGAGGTCAGGAGATCGAGACCATCCTGGTTAACACGGTGAAACCCCGTCTCTATTAAAAATACAAAAAACTAGCCGGGTATGGTGGCAGGCACCTGTAGTCCCAGCTACTCTGGAGGCTGAAGCAGGAAAATGGCGTGAACCCGGGGGGCGGAGCTTGCAGTGAGCCGAGATTGCGCCACTGAACTCCAGCCTGGGCGACAGAGGGAGACTCCATCTCAAAAAAAAAAGAAAAAAAAGAAAGAAAAAAGAAAACCACAGTGAACTATCACCTCACACCTGTTAGGACGGGTATTATCAAAAAGTCAAGAGATAAAAAGTAGTGATGGCGTACAAAAAACTAGCCGGGCGTGGTGGCAGGCACCTGTAGTCCTAGCTACTGGGGAGGCTGAGGCAGGAGAATGGCTGAACCGGGAGGCGGAGCTTGCAGTGAGCTGAGATTGCGCCACTGCACTCCAGCCTTGGCGACAGAGCGAGACTCCGTCTCAAAAAAAAAAAAAAAAAAAAAAAAGAAAACCACAGTGAACTATCACCTCACACCTGTTAGGAAGGGTATTATCAAAAAGTCAAGAGATAAAGAGTAGTGATGGCGTACAAAAAATTAACCGGGCATGGTGGCGTGCGCCTGTACTCCCAGCTACTGGGGAGGCTGAGGCAGGAGAATGGCTGAACTGGGAGGCGGAGCTTGCAGTGAGCTGAGATCGCGCGACTGCACTCTGACCTTGGAGACAGAGCGAGACTCCGTCTCAACAACAACAACAAAAAAACAAAAAAGTAATGAGGGAAAGATCTGGAGAAAATGAAACCCTTTTAGGGTGTGCAGAAAAGGGGACGTTTACAGGCTGTTGACAGACATGTAATCGGTATAGCCGTCATGAAAAACAGTATAATCATTCCTTGGAAAATCAAAATAGATCTACCATATGACCCAGCAGTTCATCTGTGGAGTATGTGCCCCTCCCCCAAAATGAAATCCACATCTCATACAGATATCTCCAGTACTAATTGTAACTCATTAATCACACAGGAAATTAGAGTTTCTATTTGAAAAGAATGGTTTTTTTTTTTTTCACCATTCTGGTATCAAATATTTATTCTACACATCTCTTCTTATTTTTTGCTTTGTAATTACCTAGGTACTAGTACCATTGACAGAACTCATTACTCCAAGAAGAAATGAGAAATGTTGAGGAGAATGCAATGTTATACTTCTTTTCTTCAATCAGTTATTCTAGTTTTATGAAGGATTCTGTATTTAACTCTTACCCAGGTAACTCTAGTTACCATATCCATAGCACCTAATCAACAATCCTAAAACAGTAAGCACACGGAATTGACTAGAATGGTTATTAAACCTTCTATGTTCAAGCAGTTTTCCTAGTAATTGCTAGTTGTTTATTCAGCTGTTTGCCTAGGTACCACTAAATGTTTAGCTTTATGTCACAGAGACATAAGAAGTAGTATTGAGAAGAATTTTATTCCAGATACTGGTTTCGTGTAGTTATTTCTAGTTAATTACTCACTTGGATAAAGTAGATATTTACTGTATGAGGTAATATTTCTAACATGAGGTTGGAATTTTGCATTGAGGAAAACGGTTATTGAACTCCCTGGCATAGGCCGGTTATCTTCAGCTTCTGGGATCAGTTACTTGGTCTGGCTAATTCTAGCTATCTTTAGGTTGCTAATTACATGTTTACCACCAGATGTCTGTGGTAATTTATTATTCCAACAAAAAATAGTCGAATGGTGAGGAAGGATTTTCCTTTTTCCTGGCATCACATAGATATTCAAGCTATCTCCAGTTATTCTATGTAACTTTTTTTCCTGGGTAACACTCAGCAGCTATCCTTTTAAGTTCTTATCTCAACTAAAACCAATAATTGAGACTTGCAAAGAACATGATTTTCAGGATCAGGTTCACTTGGTATTGTAATGATTGTTAGCTGTTTCTATGTAACCAGTTTCATGGGAAAGCCCAGTTAAGTAGAACTTGTATATTAACTCAACACCAACAAAATTATATCTGACCAGACTAGATTCCCTATGTTCTACATTCCACTGAACTATTCTTGTTGTCCCTATTTTACTACTTACTTAGGTACATGACTTACCTGTAGTACTAATTCATTATTCCAGCAATAATTCAGCAGTAAGTGGTGAGAAGAAAGTGATTTGGTTTTTAAAATTTATTTTTATCGAGGTAAAATATACATATATAATGTACCCTCTTTACCACTTGTAAGTGTGCAGTTCAGTGGTAATAAATATATTTATATTCTTTTATTTCCCCTTCATCCCCCCTTCCCCTTCTGGCCTCTGGTAACTATCACTATAGTTGCTATCTTCATGAGAATCACTTTTTAGCTCCCATACATGAATGGAAACATGTAATATTTGTCTTTCTGTGCCTGGCTTATTTTATTTAACATAACGGCCTCCAGTTCCACCCATATTGCTGCAAATGACAGTGTGTCATTCTTCTTATGGCTGGATAATATTGCATTGTGTACATATACCACATTTTCCTTATCCATTTGTCCGTTAATGGGCATTTAGGCTAAATCCATATTTTGGCTATTGTGACTTGTGCTGCAATACACGTGAGCAAGTATTCCAGCAGTGGAATACTCAGATCATATAGTAGTTCTATTTTTAGGATTTTGAGGAACTCCATACTGTTCTCCATAGTGGCTACAGTAATATACATTCCCACCAACAGTGTACAAGGTGGGTTCCCCTTTCTCCACCTCCTTGCTAGCATCCTTTCATGCCTGTCCTTTTAATCAAAGCCATTTTAACTGGGGTGAGATGATATTGTAATGTGGTTTTGATTTGTATTTATCTGATGATTCGTGATGAGTATATTTTCATATGCCTGCTGGCCATTTGTATGTCTTCTTTTGAGAAATGCCTATTCAGATTATTTGTCCATTTTTAAATCATATTGTTTATTAAGTTTTTCCAGCTCCTTATGTATTCTGGTTATGAATCCCTTATCAGATGGATATTTTGCAAATATTATCTGCCATTCTGTGGGTTGTCTCTTCACGTGGTTGATAATTTCCTTTGCTATGCAGAAGCTTTTTAACTTGATGTAATCCCAACGGTTTACTTTTACTTTGGCTCCTGTGCTTTTGAGGTCTTACTCAAGAAATCTTTGTCCAGACTGATGTCCTGGAGCATTTCCCCAATGCATTTTTCTGGTGGTTTCAGTTTCAGGTCATAGTTTTGAGTCTTTTTTTGTTTTTGTTTTTGTTTTGTCTGAGGAAGACTCTCACTCTGTCGCCTAGGACCAGGCTGGAGTGCAATGGCAAAATCTCGGTTCACTGTAACCCCCACTTCCTGGGTTCAAGTGATTCTCATGCATCAGCCTCTCGAGTAGCTGGGATTACAGGCATGCACCACCATGCCTGGCTAATTGTTGTATTTTTAGTAGAGATGGGGTTTCACCATGTTGACCAGGCTGGTCTCAAACCCTTAACCTCAAGTGGTCTGTCTGCCTCAGCCTCCCAAAGTGCTGGGATTACAGGCTTGAGTCACCATGCCCAACCAGATTCAAGTCTTTAACCCATTTTTTATTTGCTTTTTGTGTGTGGTGAGAGATAGGAATCTAACTTCATT